GTCCCTGTGTCTGCCTAAGCAGACGCTTTAGTCTGCTGAGCTATCTTGCTGGCCCAACCACCACAATTTTTATGTACTAAAATTAAGTGGGAACAACTTAAGAGTCACTGTACTCTTACATATCCATATGTATGTGTATATAGGTAGCAGCCTGTTTTCATGTATTACTTTCAGCAAAACACTGCTCTAATACAATTTTATGTGGGTTGAGATTGAGATTTTCTTTAGTGGAGAATATGTGTGGATAAGTGTCTGTCTTTATTGAAAGCATGTTACCTTAAAAAGAACTTTGTAAGAGATGTCAGCATTAAAGTCATAGACTTTGCCCACTAGTTTTTGTGGGCAGTATCTTGCAACCTGATTTAAGTGTGATGATAGGAATCCAGGTTAAAAGGTGTGGTTTTTGTGGTGCTGGGGACTGAGCAAACGTAGGCCCCGCTGTGTTCTAGACAGTGCTCTCCTGTTCAGCTGGCAGGGGCTCATCCTAACGGCCTCAGCCCCACCCGTGCGTCGCTGCCCCGGCGGTGGCCCAGCCCCCAGCCAGAACCAGAGGGAAGCCCTTTCAGATGGTCCGCGTTGAGTGTCGGTACAGCCGAGCAAGCGAGCACAGCCTGAGAGCAGTTCTGCAGCAGGAGCGCTCACGCTGCTGTGTCTCTCAATCTGCAGGTTGGGGCTTGAGGCAAAAAAAGAAGAAAATCTTGCTGATTGGTATGCCCAGGTGAGCGTGCGTGCCGCTTCTGATTTTTACCTTTCAAAAAAAAATCATGTATTTGGTACATGCAGTAGGGTCTCACTGCACAGCTCAAACTCTAGTGATCCTCCTGTACCAGCCTCCCCAGCGCTGACATTGCCACCACACCCCGTCTTAGTGGCCCGCTCAGCCCGCCCGGGGTGGTGGAGCCAACACTGACATGGCATATAGTACTAGGGATTGAACCTGGGTCCTCGTGCTTGCCTAGGCAGGCACTTAGACCCCTGAGCTATTTCTGTGGCCCGAGTTTTACATATTTATTTATTTTATTTTATTTTGGTGGTGCCAGGGATCGAACTCAGGACCTTGTGCTTGCCAGGCAAGTACTTATTCCACTGAGCTGTCTCCCCAGCCCCTTACATTTTAAAAAGACTGATTTCTGTTGAGGTTCTGGAGTTCAAGTATAGAGTTAGTGGTTGTAATACTCCATGATGCCTTTTGTCTTCTAATGTCATAGTTTGCAACCTGTAGTCATCTCCGTTACTGATAGAGCAGGAGTCCTATGAGATGGGCAGTTGTCATTTGATTTGATGTTTGTGCATGGTGGGGTTAAGGGTTAGTCTGAAGTCATAGGCAGCAGGGGTGAGGGAGATGAGCGGCTTAGTGGGATAAGCGCTTCCCTGGCAAGTGCAAGAACCTGAGTTCAATCCCCCGTTCCGCCAAAAAAAAAAAGTCACAGGCAACAAAAGCAGAAGCAAGGCCAGAACTGAGGTCTGGAAGGAACGCTGACCGCTACAGCTCCACAGGACCTGAGTTGTGCCTCGCCGGGTTCCAGCCCCAAGGCAGGGAGCCCCAGGCCGGAGCTCGCTCCCCAGCCCTCTTGTCATGTGTGTTGAAGATCTTCCTCCATCTTTGCAGACTCTGTTCTTGTCTTTGTAAGGTCATCACGAAGTCAGAGATGATCGAGTACTATGATGTGAGTGGCTGCTACATCCTCCGGCCCTGGGCGTACTCCATCTGGGAGTCCATCCAGGCCTTCTTCAACGCTGAGATCAAGAAGCTGGGTGTTGAGAACTGCTACTTCCCCATCTTCGTGTCTCAGAGCGCGCTGGAGAAGGAGAAGACTCACATTGCTGACTTTGCCCCTGAGGTAGGGGAGCCGGCTTTTTCTGTTTGGTTTTTTTGTTTGTTTGTTTTATCTTTTTTTTTTTTTTTTTTTTTTTGGCAGTTTTCTTTCATAAACTCAAAAGTTTATTTTCAGCAGTGTAGAACAACCAATTTAGAGAAACATAAAGCCATTTTAGTTAAATAGTTCTAGTTCTATAATCCTGGCAAGTTGTGGCTCTGCTTTTCACATGAATGAATTAGCTGATTTGTTCTTTCCTTCACAAGTGTAGTAGAGCATTGCTTTAATTTCCTTAATTGACGCAGAGCAGAACTGCGTTTTATGCTGTTGCTCTGCCCGGCCGTGGAATGCACGGCTGAGAACCACCTTTCTGTTCCCAGGTGGCTTGGGTCACGAGGTCTGGGAAGACTGAGCTGGCAGAGCCGATCGCCATCCGCCCAACCAGTGAGACAGGTGGGTGCGGGGCTTGCGCCAGTGCTAGGGTGTCCGTGACGCTGCTGGCCGTGTCAGGCTGAGCCAGTGCTGTAGAACTGCAGCAAGCCTCATTACAGCTTCACTCTGCAGTGTTTTGCCCCTTATCATTAGGATACAGAGGTGTTTTGGTTTTTTTTTTTTTTTTTTACATACTCATCATTTAATTTTATGCTATTATTTTTCAGAGCTTTTTTAAGAATCTTATTGAGATAATTTTTATTCTTGAAATGATTGTGAAATTTCAAACTTCGTTCCACATTTGCATTTCTTACAGGTTTTATTGCTCATTTTAATAATACAGAGTGACACACACATTGGCTTTCTACTGCCAAGTGCTTTCCTCTGCATTGTCTTTACTCACAACAGTGCTCGGAGGAAGGCAGGGGCAGCTGTTACCTCTGTTTTGCAGATCAAGAAAGATCTCTGAAAAGCCAGGCCATTTTCCTAGAAGTGCAGAATCAGTAGCGCCACTGGCAGTTTTGAGCCTCTGGGCTTGATAATGTTTCCTGATTGAGATGGCCTCCTTCTGAGTTAAGCGCTGTTGCTCTTTCTTGCTCTGGTGACCCTCTTGTTGTGTGTTGAACATGGGGAACCAGTTTTTTTGTCTCATACCAGGTTGGCTGCCTTTGGTTTAGCTCTGCTACTTGCAGATCATGCGTAGGTGGGGTGGCAAGAGCTTTTATACCTTGGGTAGGTAGGTGCATCAAGAGCTAACCGAAATTCTGACAGTAATACATAACTGCTGGAAGGTAGTTACCTTACCTTTAGAATTGGCACGGCACTTACATTATGGGTTGAATGTGAGAATCAAATACGATTATGAATGCAAGGAGCTGAGCACAAAACATGGCACATGTTAGGGTTTTCAGAAACAACATGAAAGTGAGAGTGAGTTACTTATAAATCTTATAAGAATATAAAGTATGATCAAGTCTAGGTGGATTTGTATCTGTAAATAACATGCTTAAGAAATAGGTTCTAGTGCCCTGGAGGTAACTGTGACCAATGCTGGGAGCACATTTCCACAGACGCACATCCTAGATCCTGTCACTTCTGTCACTGATTTAATTCCAGACTGACACTGCTGTCTCTTTGTCTTTCAGTCATGTACCCCACATATGCGAAGTGGGTGCAGTCCCACCGGGACCTGCCCATCCGGCTCAACCAGTGGTGCAATGTGGTGGTAGGTGCATGCCTCTGAAACTGGTGCTCATGGCATTTTGCTTTTAGAGCATGCTTTGTCTCTTATTTTGGTGTTAAAAGGACAGTAAGTCTGGAGCCATTTGGAAAGTGTTTGGGTTACAAAGTTCCCTATAACAACACTGTGCTCTGGCCTTCTGCAGCGCTGGGAGTTCAAGCACCCACAGCCTTTTCTGCGCACCCGCGAGTTCCTCTGGCAGGAGGGCCACAGTGCTTTTGCCACCTTTGAAGAAGCAGCAGAAGAGGTAGAAAAGGCGTTTCCTGTTATCTAATATTATGCTAGAAAAGTGTCCACAGGCTCTGTTTTGTTATTTGAGTCTTAGGTAACATCTGTAAAAAGAAAAATAAGATGAACTCAAATATACATTGATTTCAGAAACTGCTTGCTGAGATTTTATTAATTTATGATATAGGCAAGGATTTTCTATCTTGTTTTTCTTAGACAGGATCTCCATATATTGCCTAGGTAGGTTTCAAAAACTACTCTGCCTGCTTCAACCTCCGCAGTGCTGGGATTATGGGTGTGGGCCACTGTAACTGCCAAAATATGCTCTTAAATTTTCAGATTAAAATATTTTGGACTTTGGAGGAGGGAAATATTACGGATTTCCACTTGGGAGGCTTAGCCAGGAAGATCAGGAAATTCTTATTTTTTTAAACTTATGTGCATTTGTAAGCGTTGCTCAACTTGATGTCACTTTGTTGGTTATCTTTAGTAATCTCATATTGGCTACTGGAACCTTTCCTCGGAGCAGTTTTATTATTAGAAGTGGTGTCTCAGCACAGCCTTCGGTCATGTTGTTCTGTACGTCTATAATGAGTAACTTAGCCCTAATTTGAGCACATTACATTTCTGTTGGCACATGCAGGTGCTGCAGATCCTCGAGCTGTATGCCCGGGTGTATGAGGAGCTACTGGCCATCCCCGTGGTCAGGGGCAAGAAGACGGAGAAGGAGAAGTTTGCGGGTGGAGACTACACGACGACTGTGGAGGCCTTCATATCTGCCAGCGGCAGGGCTATCCAGGTACCACACTGCTGCACGGTGCCACAGCAGACGCAGGAGCACGTGCACGTGTCACTGGGGAAGCTGGTGTGGGTTCCTTAGCAAGCCAGAGTGCAACCATGTGATCCAGCAGCCCCAGCCCCTTCCCCCTCAGTAGTTCTACAGTAGTTGGGAAGTGTCCCTTGGCCACTGGGCACAGGTCACAGGTGTAGCATTTGTCTGCTGTGGTGGACTTTGCAGCTGTAGAACACCATGCGTGCTGTCACTTTCAGCAACATAGGTGACACTGGAGATCCTTAAATGAAATAGGCCAGACCCAGGAACCACGCCCACCCGTGCCTAATTAGGTATGCTTCTGTCCTTGAGCGAAGCGGGCTGTGGTGCCGTAGAGTCAGCAGGTGGTTTCTGGCCTGCAACTACGTAGAAGGGTAGCTGTGTAGCAGTGACACACATTTCCAAAAGCTAGGGGGAAACTCAGTGTGGAACCCGACTCTCATGTTCTATGATGTATGTATCGATGGAAATAGCGCATCTTGTTAATGTGCATTTTTTGTGTTTTCACTGCTTAAATATAAGTGAATAAAAAGCAGGGTCTCACAATGTAGCTTGGACTTCTAGTGCTCCTCCTGTCTCAGCTTCCTCAGCACTGAGGTTAACAACAGTGGCCAGTACAGCAGGTAGTACCAGGGATTGAACCTGGGTCCTTCCACTTGCCAGGCAGGCACTTAGACTGATGAGCTGTCTCCCTGGCCCAAGTACATTTATTTCATTACCTTCTAGGCCATGTAGTAATTTAAGTACATTTGTCCTTGTCATATGCATCTCCCAGTGAGTTAAGTCACGTACTATATCCTGGGTTGCCAAGGCATGAACTCTTTTATTTTTTTTAGGTCCAGAGTGTAGCTATTCCTGTAAATGGGGCTACTGAGAGCAAAGCATTAGTGTAGCATTTTTTTACTAATTCCAGTATCAGTTACACTTATATTTGAAAACCTTATTTAATGTAAAAAAAAAAAAAAATAGAGATAAGACATGTATAGCGCCATTTTGTAGCATGTGATCAATCTTACAGTGATCATTTTCAAGGGCATAATAAATCACCAAAATTAAACCTTCTGTGTCTTTTAGGGAGGAACATCACATCATTTAGGTCAGAATTTTTCTAAGATGTGTGAAATCATTTTTGAAGATCCCAAGACACCAGGAGAGAAGCAGTTTGCTTACCAGTGCTCCTGGGGTCTGACCACGCGCACCATCGGTGTGATGATCATGGTCCATGGGGACAACATGGGCTTGGTCTTGCCGCCCCGGGTGGCCTCTGTCCAGGTAAGACACTCCTGCTCCTCACTCCTTCTGTGAAGTGCAGGCCATGTTTGCAAGAAGAGACTAGGAAGAGTGGTTTTCTGAGGACTGTGCAGGTAGATTTTCCTGCTGTAGAAGAGACGCAGAATATAGCCAGACCTCAGCGTTGTGTAGCTGCAGGTGCTACTGGCTTTACTCTTTCTACTTGTATAAAACTTCTCTGTAAGTCACTTTTTGCAGTGGTTTCTGAGAGGTGAAGTGTGAGTAGGGCTGCGTCCAGCACAGGCAGGTGCCGGGTGGCTGGCGCCTGGGTGTGGTGCAGCCCGCACGTCTCGGCGTGTGGCATGCGCGCACAGCTGTGGCGCCCCTGCCTGGGCGCTGACCCGCGTCCTCCGGGCATTGGTCCCAGGTGGTGATCATTCCTTGCGGCATCACAAATGCACTGTCTGAAGAAGACAAAGAAGCGCTGATGGCGAAGTGCAGTGATTATCGCAGGCGGCTGCTCGGTGCCAACATCCGCGCCCGCGTCGACTTACGAGATAACTATTCTCCAGGGTGGAAGTTCAATCACTGGGAGCTCAAGGTGAGTACCTTCGTTGTCTTTCACCCACACCCCGTTTGCATCTGGACTTTTACTATTCTGCTTTTGTAAAGCAAAAGGTTTTCATTATTTCTCTATTTTGGCAAATTTTGAGCACTGGCATGATCCACACCTTGCAGCAGTGACCCTAAAGCTGACATAGGGTCGTGCTGGGTGTGGCTCTGTGGGGGAGCAGGTGCCTGGCAGGTTCAGGGCCCTGGTGGGAGCCCCAGCACTACCCCCTTTCAAAAAGTTTTTGAACAAGCTTATTTCAATAAAAATGATCACAAGCTTTTGTTTGTAATGAATAAACTTCATGTGGTGGAATATGACACTTAGTGCCAGAATCTGTGGAAGTTGTTTGAATAGTAAGACAGACTGCAGAGTGACACAGTGTCGCCTCACTGGAGGTTACACGGCAAGGCCCCCAATCTCTCTCGGGACACATGACTCTTTTCTAATGGGAAATTAGGTTTCTAGAGTATAATTTTAAAGCCCTATGGCTTTTTTTTAAAAGCTCAGGGTGACTTTTAATATGCTAATCAATGTTAGTAAGTCACAGGTCGAACAGACAAGTGCAGACACGTTTTAGGTCACAGTTGAGAAAACAGCCTGGAGCTCAGCGGCTTGTGTGCCTGCCTGGCAAGCACAAGATCCTTAGTTTGGTCCATGGTACCAAACTGAAAAACAACAACAGCAACAAAAAAAACCCTAAGAAAACAAAAAAGACATATTTTTTTTTTCAAGATATGTAAGTCAACATCAGTCAAATGGCTAATAGCAGATAAAATATATTTTGAAAAAACCTAGAATCAGTCAGAAGTCATTCTGACATTTTCAACAGTTGTGTACAGCATTACCAAGATCAGTTTATATACAAAGATAATGAAAGAGATTAGGCACAACATTTTACTTATTTTTTTTTTAGGGAAGGGTCTATTACAGGGTGTTCAGGGTCTCACTACTAGATCAGACTCGTAGTGATCCGCCTGTTTACAGCCTCCCAAGAGCTGGGATTACAGGCGCGCGTCACCACGCCCAGTCGTCTCAATTGCCATCTCAGCACTTCCTGGGAGTGGGGCGGGGCGAGCATTGCAGGCCTGGGGACCGAACCCCCAGCCCTAGGCAAAACATTTTAAAACAGAGTAACTGTACAGTCAGGTACAAAACTAGGTAGAAGAGAGGAGGTGTTTTTAAAGAGTCAAGAAGGCTATTTTCAGACAGAGAATTTAAAAAACCAGTAATAATTCTATTACAGTAATACTAGCATTCCAAAGGGGAAGAGGTATATTTCTTCACTTCACTAGCTTTAAAGAGTTTAGAGGAAGAAAAGGCCAATAGCTGCTTCTTATGAAGAGCAGCTGTATATTCCATGTAATTGACAGGGTGCTCCTGGTTGAGTATACGATTCATAATTTTAAAAAAACCAGAATTATAGGATTGGCACGCAGCTGCATTAGGGGCTAGGTAGCATTGAGTCTTTAGTGTTCCCCTTTTTTGAAGGGAGGGTAGGTTTGTAATAAAGCCCTTGAGTCTTTTTATACAGTGCAGCGAACACTCAGCTGTGAGCAGCGCGCTCCCGCAGGGCAACCTGCTTGGCTGGCGCAGCTCCTGCGTGACCACCTCTGGCCCGAGTCTGGGGTGTGGGTGCCCCTAGCAGCTAACCTGTACACAGGAGCGCGTTCCTCATCTGAAAAAGCCCAGCTAGCTTTGAGGCGTCATTCACTTAAGAGTAGTCATTTAAAACCTTGTTTAGCAGGCAGGCTCTCAGTCCTAGAAACTGAGGTCTGTTGAACGCGGTGGGCCTGTCCCAGAGACATGGGTGCCCAGAGCTGGCCTGTGCCATGCGCGAGCCATCCTTGAGCCCTTCATGGAGCCCGAGGGCTTGGGCAGCCGACCTGCACAGGGGCCCTCTAGCCCAGACACTCAGACAGTTCTTACAAGAGCTTTCTGTAACACCGCAGGAGCATTACCTGCATTTCTGTTTGTACTCCTGCGTTTTGGATGTGTGGTGTGTGTGCCACAAGGGGAGGCACCACCAGAGCCCCCCTGACTGTGTCTCTCGCAGGGAGTTCCCATTCGACTTGAAGTTGGACCCCGTGACATGAAGAGCTGTCAGTGTGTAGCCGTCAGGCGAGACACTGGAGCCAAGCTGACGGTGGCTGAGAGCGAGGCCGAAACAAAGTTGGGGGCCCTGCTGGAGGAGATCCACGTAAACCTCTTCCAGAGGTACCTGCACACACCCCTCCCTCACGCTCGCAGGTCCCTCCCAGCCTCTGAGGCTGAGGCAGGGATGCCTGGGTTGCAGCAGCGAGACTGTGCTGTCAGCTCCTGGCAGCGTCACCTGCCACTCCCTGTGATTGTGACCTGGGCTCTGGTGATTTTCCGAGGGCCTTCTGTCCCCATCCAGCTATGCAGCAGTGGCCGCCCATCTCCAGGCTTGTTTGAGGTAGCTGTATTGTGTTGGCTTGTGTGTGTGGTGCAGTGGTGGGGTTTGAGGTGGGGATGTGGTGATGTCTTCCAAGTCCCTTTTCCCCATCCTGTGCCTCCCCCGAGTTTGCCTTTTTGATCCCTGCCATCTCTCCTTTATTTTACTCAGGTATTTCTGTACATAGTAGTTTTTCATGTAAGAGAAACCAGCTTTACCTCCCTGTGTCGTACTTCCCTTAGCATGATGGTCTCAGATTACACCACTTTCCTACAGGTGACAGGGGTTCACTCTAGGGCTGAGCAGTAGGCCTGTTGTATGGTAACTGTGCCATGTTTCTTGTATCCATCTGTGTGTTGATGAGTGTCTGGGCTCTTCCCAGAGCTTAGCTGTTGTGAACTGTGGGACAAACGAGGGTGCGCTGTACCACTGTAGTATGGCATCGTAGTGCTTTGAGGAGTGCCCCACGGAGGGGCTGGGCCCAGGACTTGGTGGCGTCTATGTGAGAAGGACGAAGGCGTGCACTCCCGGCTGCTGCATGCACATGCTGGTTTGGGTAGACAGCAGCGTCTGGCACCCTTCCTGCAGCACATACAGAGTGGTCTAGAGAGCACTGGCCTTGGTGTGGAAGGTTCTCCCGGGGACTGGAATGGCAGGGAGCCCGAGGCCCTGTGCCTAGGTCCAGGGTAGCGTGGGGAGGGTGCAGGCCTGTCCCGGCCTGGATTCCTGTAGGATCATAGATCCCCGCTTGGCAGTGTCCTAGTGGGAACCCCTTTGCTTTCCTCACCAAGCAGAGCGTAGGGCCCTGCGCAGAGGATAGGGGCTGCTGAGGGAGGGCTGCGCCTGTGCCTTCCTGTTGACATTCAGATGCCCAGCCTGGCACAGTCAAGGGAAGGCACATCTCATCTCAGCCTTGGGATGTGTGCTCACTTAGGGACCTAGGCAGGTGATTTGGTCTCTTGGCTGCACATCCTAAAGTGGGGCTGAGCAGTGTCTGGAGAGGAGGGTTTAGGGTCGGTTTGAGGTACAGGTGGTGCAGTTCAGGGTCTGTCTCTGCTGAGGGCAGGCCGAGTTGGCAGAGAAAGGCTGATACTCATACAAGCTCCAGAAGAGTGAGTGAGTGTCTCCAGCCTGCTGTTCTGAGGGTCAGGAACCTGGGGCAGAGGTTACAAAGTGTGAGTGGTAGGTGGTGTCCCCAGGCATCTATGGCAGCCCAGGAAGTGAGCAGCAGCTTTTCTATGTCATGTTGTTTAGGTGGCTGTCATTCACCACTGAAGGCCATTGCTAATGACGGTGTTGACATTCACATTGAGCCTTTCTGATTCTGAGGTTTCTGTTTATAAAGTTATGTTTATCATACCTGTTTGTAAGACAGATTATATATTTTTAAAATTTTCTTGCTAGGGCTTCTGAAGACCTGAAGACCCACATGGTCGTGGCAAACACAATGGAAGACTTTCAGAAGACACTCGACTCCGGGAAGGTGAGAGCCTCTGGAAAGCAGTCTCGCTGCCCTCTGCACAGGGCAGAGTGGGGCCTGGGTCCTGTGTGTGCCCGGCAGCCCCAGGACCCACGACGAGAACGTTGGCTCGGGACGTGGTATGTTAGACTTGCGGAGGTTGGGCGCAGTCCCCGTCCCCATGGAGCGGCGCTGTGGGCTGGCTGTGTCCCTTGGCACTCTGCTGCTCCGTGGCCTCGAAGCACTGCGGGGATCACAGTCCACTACCACCGATTTGTACATCCATTCTGTCTGAGTACTAGTGCTTCAGGTCTGAGAATTGTCACTTTTGTATTCATTACTTTGAGACACAGTTGCGCAAGTTACAGGCTGGCCTTGAACTTGCCATTCTCCTGTGAGCCTGCCAGAGTGTCGGCATACAGGCACCACCATGCTGACCTGTCTTGGTGGTAAAGTGCCGTGTGTAGGCTCCTCAGACCAGGGGAGTAGGCCTGTTGCCCAGTCTGCTGACCACACCTTCATGGAGCGCTGCAGGGTCCGAGCTGCGGCAGGAGGTCTGCCTCTGCCCCGGCTCCCTTTAAACCTCCCTGCTTCCACCTCGGGGGCCGGTGGCCATGTGGAGCAGACCTGCTGTGGAGCTCAGGCCTCCCGGCTCCACAAGCTCTGCCTGTTAGCCACGTGAATGGGCTTTAGATCCGAACGAGCCTCTTCTGCCCCTGACAGCCCTAAGCACAGGCCCTCACGTGTTCTCGAGGGCAGTGGCCCGCAGGGATGGCGACCCATCCTGTGCTTGCAAGCTGTAGAATGGCTTAGATCCCCGTGCCGTCATCTGTAGCGAGCACTCGCCCTCTCTTCCAGATCGCACAGATCCCGTTCTGTGGGGAAATCGAGTGTGAGGACTGGATCAAGAAGACCACCGCCAGGTGAGCACAGGACGGGAGCTGCACTGGCGGGGGCGGGGCACCACATGACTGGCGCTCATGCCCACGCTCTCCTCTTCCCCCCATGGCTCCCGCAGGGACCAGGACCTGGAGCCAGGGGCCCCGTCCATGGGCGCCAAGAGCCTCTGCATCCCTTTCCAGCCGCTGCAGGTGCTGCCCCCCGGGGCGCAGTGCGTGTGCGGCAGGAACCCTGCCAGGTTCTACACGCTGTTTGGCCGGAGCTACTGAGGGGGACCCCAAGCTCTCGCCACCTCACTTCATGGCAGATTGATACCAGTGCTTCTCAGATGCAGTTTTATGATTTTTTAAAAAATAAAACTTCTGAAAGATCACGAGACAGCTCTTCTTATGCCTGAGTTGATGGTGGAAAAGACTTTCCTGGAAACTACCCAGCAATAAATATTATGAACTAATCCCGCTTTGTGTATTCATTGACATAGGAGACCACACTGTGTGTTCTGGTGCTACAGGCTCGGCGAGGGTGGTGCTCCGTGCCCCTGCGTGTCCCCGACCTCATGCCCCTGAGCTGCTCTCCAGTTACTGCGGGACCTTCTAAGCCCCAGTCCTCCACGGGCAGGCAGCCAGCAGCCTCTGTGGGCCGCGCCCCCTGGGCACTGGACACCCTTCTGGCCCTCAGGCTGTTCGAGTTGGTGCTGCTCCTCAGCCCCCTCCGGCCTTGGAGTTATGTCCCCAGCCAGAGCTGGCACTAGCCCTCCGCCATGGCTTTCTCCAGCTGCCCAGCACCACTGCAGTCCCAGGGTGTTGACTGAGTGCTGCTCATCTGCTCCAGCCATGTGGCTCGCTGTGGCCGACCATCCTCCAGGTCGGTCCCGCCCTGGGCTCTTCTGCGGGGTTTCCTGCCAGAACCCTGTTGCTCAAACCCTGGACTGGACCTACTAGTGGTCAGCATTCTGCCACCCGTGTTCTTAGGCCAGTGAAAAAGCCTGTGATTTGGTTCATTTGTCAGTACTGAGCCAGTCTTTTTTATTTTGAGGTGAGGCAGGGTTTCGGTCACTTGTTTGCCTGAGCTGGGCACAAACCTGTGATCCTCCTGTCTCAGCCTCGCAGTGTTTGGATTAGAGGTGTGTGCCACCTTGCCTGGTGACATTTTTTTAGAGATGGAGCTTTATTTTTATTTTTTTTAAATTTTATTGATAAACAGCAATGAGACAGTTTCAAGCCTTTTCTTTTTTTAATATTTATTTATGTGTGTGTGTGTGTGGCCAGCTCAGCCCACCAGAGGGCGGGGCTGGCTGGCATGTGGTGCTGGGGGATTGAACCGTGGTCCCTGATGCTTTGCTAAAGCTTGTTCTAAGTAGGTGCTTTAGACCACTGAGCCATCTCTCCAGTCCCGAGATGGAGCTTTAAAGTGTTGCCCAGGTTGGTCTTAAGCTCCTGGGCTCAAGCAGCCCTCCTGCCGGAGTTTTCTGAGTAGTGGGGACACCCCATCTGTGTCACCACGCCCAACCCATTGCAGTTAGGCTTGTGTCTTCCCACTCTCAGCCTTTCACAGGTGTGCAGGTCTCCAGGCTCCACATCTCCGTGGTGTTTGGCTTTCCGAGCAGTTAGGAAAGCGTTTTTTCTTTCCCTAGAAATCCTGGTGGCTTCATCATTATTTGATAAAGCACAAGCCCCTCAGCGTAGCTGTGGGGTTCACCTGGCTGTGTCCCCTTCAGCCAGCCAAAGTCTCTTGCAACTGAGCTGCACGCACCTCCTATAAACTGCTATTTCTGGTGCCTGTCCTCGCCCTTGCCTCCCTCTTCAGGCAACTGCCAAATCTGCACTCCAGGCCTCGGGTGCTGTCCCTTTGTGCTTTTCCATTTGGTGATAGTGAGGAGTCGCGTTCACAGAGGCCCTGAGTTCTGTGCTGTGGAGAGGAGCAGGATTCCGTGCAGGTGGAGGAGGAGAGCAGCGTGACGCAGAGCAACACATGGCACAGCGGCAGTCGGTGCACAGGACCTGCTCCCCGTGGGCAGGAAAGTGTCCCTGGAACGTGTTAAAACGCGCACGCGTCCAGCATTGTCTTCATGCGCTTCCCACCACATGGAGGCTGGCCCTGCACCCCACTGCTTCCTTGGACTTGGGGCCGTTTGGAAGCTCATCTCACCATCGGTGCCGTCACACGTGCTGCACTTACAAAGGCCGGGCGGATGGCCCTGTGCAAGGCCCTCCTGGTTCAAGCCCCAGGCCTGGCAGCAGGGAGAAGTCTGACCAGATGGCTGCGTTTTGTCCTAGCTGTTGTTTTGGAAGAACTATCCTCTGTATGCGGGTAAATGTCCTGCCTCTTTATTTTTTAATTTCACATGAGTGGAAATGATCACAGAAAAGCTTGACATTTGCTTTTATTTTTTCAATTTTTTTTTTTTTTTTTTCTGTCCTCCTGGGCGCTGGGGTTTATTTCACAACAGAACCACTGGGAATCTGGCCTGAGGCGCACACAGGGCTCCCTCCAGACGTGGTGGGACACAAGGTGACAAGCATGACGATCACAGCTGGGGTCAAGGGCTCCGGGTGGCCCTGATGGCATCTACAGAAGCAGTGGCAGGAGGGGACCTAACTATCTGGGCCTGAGGCCGAGGCTCTGGCCTGCCGCAGCCTATTTGCTCAGGGGGTTTCTGAAGTTCTGGCCGGCAAACTTGGCCTTGCTACCCAGCTCCTCCTCGATTCTGAGGATCTGGTTGTACTTGGCCAGGCGCTCGGATCGGCAAGGTGCGCCAGTCTTGATCTGCCCAGTGCTGAGTCCCACCACCAGGTCAGCAATGAAGGTGGCTTCCGTCTCCCCGGACCGGTGGGACACCATGACGCCCCAACCGTTGGACAGTGCCAGCTTGCACACCTGCAGGGACTCGGTCACTGAGCTGATCTGGTTGACTTTGAGCAGCAAGCAGTTGCAGGCCTTCTCATTCACGGCCTTGGCGATATGCTTGGGGTTGGTCACTGTGAGGTCGTCGCCCACCACCTGGATGCCAGCACTGGCCGTGAACTTCTGCCAGGCGCCCCAGTCGTCCTGGTCGAAGGGGTCCTCAATGGACACCACTGGGTAGTCCTTGATGAAGGACTTGTAGAGGTCGCCCAGCTGGTCGGGTGAGATGTACCTACTGGGGTCGTCAGGAGACTTGAAGTCCAGGTCGTACTTCCCAGACCTGAAGAACTCGGATGCAGCCATGTCCATACCGATGACCACCTTGTCTGAGTAGCCGGCCTTCCCAATGGCAGTCTTCAGCAACTCCAGGGCTTCCTTATTCTCCAGGGTGTTGGGTGCGAAGCCACCCTCATCGCCCACGTTGGTGGCGTCCTTGCCGTACTTCTCCTTGATGACGTTCTTCAGGTTGTGGCTGACCTCAGCCCCGATGCGCATGGCCTCCTTGAAGCTGGCCGCGCCCACAGGCAAGATCATGAACTCCTGCATAGCCAGCTTATTGCCAGCGTGCGAGCCACCGTTGATCACGTTGAAGGCAGGCACAGGCAAGATGACCTCGGGGTTGCCTGCCAGGTCGGCGATGTGGCGGTACAAGGGCACCCCCTACTCCACGGCGCCGGCCTTGCACACTGCGAGAGACACTCCCAGATGGCGTTCGCTCTGAACTTGGATTTGTTTTCAGTCCCATCCATCTCGATCATCAGCTTATCAATCTTCTCCTGCTCCATGATGTTCATTTTCTTGCTAACCAGGGCAGGCGCAATAGTTTTATTGATGTGCTCAACAGCCTTTGACACACCCTTGCCCAGGTAGCGGGTCTTGTCATTGTCAC